GCCGTGGGGATCGGCTATGGACCGAAGGAGACCAGGGGGAGCATCATGCTAAGGATCCGCGATGCCGTGGCCCCCGACCAGACCGTCATGACGGTGGGGAGGCACAAGGGCGTCCCCTTTGTCGAAGTCCCCGAGAACTACGGAGCATGGGCATCGGAGGAAGAGCGCCAGAACGGGACGAACATGCATCCGGACTTGAAGCGCTTCGTCAACTGGCGCCGCCAGCGGCGGGAGCAGGAGACGACCAGCTATGTCCGGGGCTACTACTACGACGACCCGGAGACCTCGGCGGTGGTACCGCCGCCTCCTATGCCAACGGCAAGTTCAGGGACGAGCTCAACGGCATGGTCCATGGTGCAGGGGACTACGCGGAGCAAAGCCACGGCACCACACCTCGTGATGCCGAAGAGGGGAGCTCGACGACCCGTGGAGGAGGAACCAGGAGCGGTCACCCACATGAACCAGGAGATCCCCGACGAGGTCACGAGCGAAATTCAGGAGCTGGAGACACGACTTGCAGTCCTACGCGACCGGCACGGGATGAGGACACAACCCGGGCGACCCTGAAGATCAACGACACCGGCGACTTCGCCCACGTGAACCCCGATCCCGTGCGTCCTGGAGAACATGGTGACGGGACTGGGGGGACGCATCACGAGCACCACGACGAGAAATTCAGGGAAAAGACCGATGGTTTCATTAACTACCACCAGAACTGCCCGCAGGACTCCAACACAGAGGGCATCGACTACGACGAGTCCGACAAGAACACTACGGGACAAGGTGAATGTGAAGAAGGTGGTGGCTTCATCAACTACAACCAGAACAACCCGCAGAACTTCAACACAGAGGACATCGACTTCGACGAGTCTGGCAAGAACACCACTGGACAGGGTGAATGCGAAGAAGGTGGTGGCTTCATCAACTACAACCTAGACAACTCCCAGAACTCCGAAGCAGAGGACATCGAGCACGGCGAGTTCGGCAAGAACACTACAGGACGAGTCAAATGCGATGAAGGTGGTGGGCATCTTGACTATAATCCAGAAGTCACCCAGGACCACAATACCGAGGGCACCGGATGCAACAGCTACGAGTATGATGTGGACTCGGGTGAGGAGGAACTAGCCCACGCCATGGTGGTGGACAACTTCCTCACTGGACACGCAAGGCACGACCCGAAGGACTGTGAGCAACGAGCACGGGAGGCCATCGAGGGAGGCGACTACACCTATAAGACCTTGGAGGAGGTCATGGAGTTGATCCCTACTTCATCAAGAACAAAGAGACGCCAGATGCACGGCACCGCCGAACCACGGACGAGGCACATCTTCGGCTACTACGCCTACGGGAGCTTCGGAGGAATATGCCGGAGGACGTTCGAGTACCCGAACCTTGTGCGCTACTTGAACAAGTTTCTACAGGAACGAGTACAAGCCGACCTCCACCGAGACGGACAATGGAATGCGATCAGTATCCTCGAGAACGTCCCGGCCGCGGTCCACACAGACAACAACAACTACCCCAACACCGCGAACTACTCAACTTCTACCGGCGCATACGTTGGAGGTGAACTTTGGGTACA